AGAGTGCATCAATATACTGAGGTGACCTTATTCTTTTTTATACTATGTATTATGAAAAATATTCTATTCACACATAAAATTCTTTAAAAGTAACATGTATGTATAATTTTACATTATTATAACTAAGATTTGTTTATTGCCCAATCACAGGGATTCCAAGCAGCTTAAAGCAACAAATAAAGGAAATACAGAAATGCCTTCAAGTTAATCTTAACTCCTGTTGACTTGCTGGAAAAGCCCCTGCAGTTCTCTTGGAAACATTTTTGGATATAGTTTGCCACTGCTTTCCTCCTAGGACTCAAAGACAGAAAGACGTCCATCCAAATAAACCTGTGCTCAGGGAGGCACTAGAACTCAGTTTCCCAGATTTTAACTAACATGCCAAACTGATTCTCATATACAGATATGACTGGGCATAATGTTTTAATTCTTGAATTATGTTAAAACAGGCACAAAAGCTTGTGACACCTAAAAATACTATATGGGTTGGGGGTGACAGTGTGATTTCACATCTATTTCAGAAAATTTATGTAGCATTACTATGTACACATGGCTTAGCCTAGAAGCAATGAAGACAAATAAGAAATTACATGCAGGAAAAACACTCAATGGCACTGTTAAAAGTTGGGATCCTGCAGCACACATTTGAAATTAGTAAGTTTTACATAAATGGTGTTAGTAATAGTGCAAATATAATCTGCATTTTAAATAAATTAAAACTTTTACTATGAACAAAATCTCATACTATAATTTCAAATCACCACAAATATTTATTTAATGAATTTATATAGCAACTTAAAGTTAATCTGAGCAGTATTCAAAAAACCAAAGCCAAAATATAATCCTACAATATTAAACACCTTTCAATATATAAAATCAAGTAATGAAGGGTTTAAACTGTGATTCACCCATTTACATTATTCTTTCTGTTTGAAGTCACATAACTGCCCCTTAAAATTCAGTGCAAATTGTCTTACAAAGTTGAAATAATTTTCTGAACATTACTGTTCCTAATCTATTGTTCTACTTCATATTCTTGACTTAACATAATACACATAAGTCACATACAATTATTTGCAATTAAGTAAAGATAAGCACTTATAAATTTTAATATATTACAAATGCAAGGAAGGCTGCATCAAAAAATGCATCAACATAAGTTGTCTTGTAGAAGAGCAATTTTGAAGGTTTATGGTTTAGCTACTCCAAATGATTTCAGAAATCAACCATACCGAAGGATTTAAATAATAGCATTTCAGTTGTACATTTTTAAAATTGTTGCTAGAATATTACTTGGCTTGTAGATAATGGATGTATCCACGCATCTATATCCATAGGTAAGTTAATCACAATTTATTCCAATAACCAATTTTTAGGAATTAACACGAAACACGCTCTATGTACACGGGCTGAGTTTGCCTAGTACACAAATGCTAAGCATGTAGTTTTGTTTTATCGCATCGTGAAAATCCAGACCATTTCCATTTATAAAATCTTCTCAAAAGGGCAAGCAAGTTGAGTTGCGTAGCAGTTTGTAAAACCCGACAAAAGAGAAGGCAACTTTCAAAACTCCCCGGAGGAAGAAGACCGGAGGGCATGCGTCTCTCGGCTGGCGAGGTTTGCCCGAAAAGGCGGCGGCGGCATTGCTCCCTGCCCATTTCAGTGGGTGTAACAGGGGAGGCGAGAGCAAGCTAGACGGACGGACTGACGGAGACACGGAGGGAGGGAGGGAAGGAGGGCGAAGGAGGGTGCCGGCTCGCCCGCGGCCCAGAACAATAGAAAGCGCCTCACTCACCGCACACGCAGCAGGAGAGCGACTGCCGGAAGTAGGGCAGCAGCTTGCCGATCTCGGCCAGGCACTGCGGATCTTCCCCGGGGCCGTAGCTGAGTACCAGGCGACTGGCGGAGATGTACAAGGCTGTAGCATTCACCGGGTTCATCGCAGACGCTGAGGCCAACGGCTCCGGGCTGAGAAGAAAGCGCGGCTCTGCGCCCAGGCAGGGCAAGCCGAGGGGCGGCTGCGCTCCTAGCCCCGCATCGACGCGCCGTCACAGCCAGGGCCGGGCCTGCTTTTCTCCACTTGCCTGCTCCCCCCCCCGCCCGCCCCCGCCACTGCCACCGCCGCAGCTCTTCCTCGCTACCAGCGGCGGCTCCCCGCGGATTACTCCAGGCGGCCGGCCATGCCGGCCTCGCTCCCTCGCCCTCCCCGGGCGCCTCAGGCGGAGGGGAGGCCCCGCATCGGGGGGGCGGTGGCAGGATCCGCGACCCGGCGCAGGGAGACGGCCTGGGCCCGGCTCTGGTAGGGGCGGGGGAGGCTGCTCCGCCTAGAGTTTCAGCGCGTCCATATTACCATGGGTTCCCTGCGCCTCTTCCGCAGAGCTAACGGCTTTGTCGCTCCTAGCCGCCCTCCGCGCAAGAGCCATCCACCACACGCCCAGCTCCAATGTCAATAGCAACCGTTAGATCCAACCGTCACTGCGCAGCCATCACCGCGGCCGCTTAGGTTCGGCACTGCGCATGCGCGGCCATTCTCTACCTCATCGCACCCACCCCCTTCCCGTCCTCTTGAACACTACGGCCGCCGAGAGAGCGAGCGGGGTGGGGTTCCGCCCTGGGTTGCGCCCTCTCGGGGCCTCCGCTGAGCTTTCCTCCGCTATTCGGAAAAGTGAGAAAGGCCGCCTCGTTCTCCGATTCGGTCTAGCAAAAGAACCTCAAAAGGCTGGTGCTTGTCTGATATCCAGAACTGCAGCTTCAATCTGTATCTTGACTAGTAAGAATGGAAGGTTTGAGTGCATGATAATACTTCTTTGAACATGGACAGAGTGCCCCTGCCTCTCAGCAGGGAGGAATTCATGCATTCCGGTGTTGATCCCAGGAACTATTTACAACCAAGCTTGGTTTAAGAGAACAAATGGAATCGACCATAGCACTGTGTCTATGATGGGTTTCCTTAAAAAAGCTAATGAATATAAAATGAATTAAATGTAAGAACTTCTCCTAAACAGTTGTCCTCCTCTGCATCGTGTTCATTGCACAAGATAGCTGAAATCTGTGTATTAAGACACACAGATAAATTCTATTAATCTGATTATCACTCTTCAAAAGAATGAATTCTAGATCAGTGTACAACACCCAAAAGTCTACTTCCTGCATAACGTAAATGTCAGTACATAAACAGATGAGAATAAAAACAGGTTACTTTTTGTCTGGAAATACTGGTATGTGTCCAAAGTGGCTTAAGATAAAAAGAATAAACCAAGTTACAAGAACAAATCCAATAAAATCTGAAAAGACATGCTACTAGGTTTTCATTTGTGTCCAATCACACTTGGCCAATAAAGAATTCTATTGTCATAAAACAACATGTTAATCTTAAATTGGCAGATGATTATAAATCACTGAAAAATACTAGGATTGTCATTAGAAGCAGTCATCTTGGATAAACCTAGCCTCCTTTGCAAGGTGTTTGGATTTATTACTAATGGAGTGAGGGGGGCATATCCTCACCCATTGCTTTTCTGCTTCTTTCACCCCTTTTTGCACCTATAATGTAATGAAAAAGAAAAATCCACAGAGGCTGGTTTTCACAACACATTAGAGCCAGTTTGGTGGTGTGGTTGAGGTGATGGGTTAGGAGTCAGGACATTCTGAGTTCTAGTCTCAGTCTAGGTATGACTGGGTGACTTTGAACCAGTCACTCTCTTAGCCCAACCTGTCAGCTTTTCTTCATTCAATAATCAGGAAAGAAAACCTCAGGACTCCATTTGTTGAAATCAAGTGTACTTTTACTNAGGGTTAACTGTGCCTCTTTGCAATTTAGTAGGCTTAGCTCTTATTTTACTTCTTGGTTGATTTTTATTCATTTTAAAATCCTAGTTTATTGTATAATTTTCATCAAGCAGCCTTTTGTATCTGCCTCTGGATTTTTATCATGTTGGGTTTAAAAAGTTCGCAGGTTACAGCCTGCTAACCTTGTTCTGGTTTTAGTTTTTTATGCTTATTTTTTATCATTATTGTATTAAATAGTTGTATTTAAAATGCAGTAATTATAAAATAAAAGTTTTTTTAAATCCCTTATGAATTTGAACTATAAATATGCATAAAAACATATGGCCTACCTACCAAAGACAGGTATGTTTGTTTGTGTGTGAGAGTAGTAGTAGTAGTAGTAGTAGTAGTAGTAGTAGTAGTAGTAGTAGTAGTAGTAGTAAAAGTAGAGAGACAAAGGATGAATGAGGGCTGGTTCTGATTAGCATTTGCTGTCAATATTGGAACATTCTTCGCCCTATCCTTTTGCACACAGATCTGCTCTTGATTTTAGCAGTAAAAAAAAAATCCTTTTTCTGGCTATATTACTCAGCCATTGAGATGTAAGAGCTATGTAAATAATCCATGAATCTGCCTATAAATCCTGGCTTACCTTCTCTCTTGCTCTAAAATAAGAAGCAAGCAGCTGTCAACAAAATCTCTGCCTATGTTACATTTACACAATTTTCCAATTTCTCTTTTGAGAAATTCACCCCTGACTCTAAAGCAGAATCTTATTACATTCTGGGAAGAACCATTATGAGTCTTCTGTTATCTACATTTGTCAATTCAAGAGCTAAAGAAAGAAAGACTATTTCACAGACTAATTTACTAAATTGACTCTGTTGCTATAACCACAATCCCCCCCCCCCCTTTTACCCTTTTAGGTTGGCAGCTTGAAAACAAGGATATATATCTCCCAAGAACTGGATTTAGTACAGGGACCTCTAATTATGAAATAAGTGACTTATTCAATAGTGTCTTAAGAGTCATCCAAGTGAAACTGTTCTGGTACAAGATGAATAAAAACAGAATTTATATTGCCTTAGGGATGTCTGAGTGTCACTTATAAGGCAGTGATGGCGAACCTGAAGGGAGCATGCGCATGGGCGGGAGGCCCTGGGTGCCAGAAAGGGAGCACTTCTCCCGTGTGCACATATCTTCGCATACGTGTGCGCGCTTGTCTGAGTTGCAAGCAGGAAGAGAAGCTGCCCAGGGGACATGCGCACACCAGGAAATTAACTTCTTGCACAGGAACAGGAAGCTCAAATACAAAGCCCAGAGAAGGTATAAACAAACCCCCCCATTCTCAACTCCATTTTGTCAGTTGCCCAGAACCACAAACCCTTGTGGTTCCACTTCATCATTCAGCCATTTCTCTAATCCATGTTTCCAGTGCCTTTCTCCCAGTTTGTGAACTCAACCAGAGCAATATTTCTTCCAATACCTACATTTGCTGATTCAACCATCTCAACCAGGGAAATGGGCATTTTCATTAGCTCTCCCTCCTTTCTGATCCACACTCCAGAAGTCAACAACAGCAGAGACAACTGGGGGACTAACACATTCAGTGCAATACAGTCTCCTGAATTAAACCATGGCACAGACTCCCAGAGCAAGAGGGGTTTTTTAAATGTAATCGTGGCTGGAAGGAAGATACGACATCCAGCACAGCAGCATCTCAACTCACTGGATGGGAGGACTGTTGCTGATATTGAATACCACAGCTACGCAACTGCCAAGGATTTCTGGTTACAAAGCAGAATGAGCTCACCGCCACCTGAGAGACGCGCTGAAAAAGAACGAATAAAGGACCCCGAACGGAGCCATCTGACCCGCGTCTTGGATGTACAACCTGGAGCCTGAACTGGGGCACAGGAGACGCTCCCTTCCTGCTTTCCAGCGGAGGGACCAGGGATGGGGACGAAGCCCGGGCTAGCAAGCCCTCCGGTCTGACGGGCGGCAAGGCCGGCTCGGTGCTGATGGGACCAACCCTGGTCTCCATCGGCTGAAAGGCTGCCCCAAACCTCCGAAAGACGCGGGCCCCTTTCGCTTCCTCCCCCGGGCTTAACGGGGCTCTTTCCGTAGACCGCGTCCCCCTCTCAACAGTTGCCGCCCGGGGAAGCAGCAGCACATCGGCCGCGTCGGCGCCTTGACGGCGGGACCCCGGCAGGACGCCCAACGGCTCCGGGCAAAAGAAAAAGCCGCGGCCCACCTCGGCTGCCGGCCCACCCTCCGAGCGCCTCGGGGGCGCTTTGCAAGGGGCGCGGTCTCCCGCGGCAAAGGGGCGCTTCTCCCTCCTCAGCCCTGGAAGCCGCGAGGGCCTTTACCGTGAGCGCTGCCTGCATCGGCGGGCTCCTTGTCGCTGGGGTCGCCGTCCATCGCTGCGGAAACCAAGCGTAGCTGCGAGAAGGCAACGCAGCAGCAGAGGCGTCTCGGAGCCCCCGAGGGACCGCGCGTGGGCGGGGAGGCTAAGGAAGAGAAGCGCCCGCGCCACCGGCTTCCGCTGCTGCCCCGCCAGGAGCCCGAGCCGGCTGGGCGCCGCCACAGGCCACCGAAGCGCGCCTTGCTCCGATTCCTCCGGCGCCGCAAACAGCTACGCAAATGGGCATCGAGAGAACGCGGGAGAAATTCCGCCCAAGCGCTCAAAGGGGGAACCGCAGGAGAAAAGGGCAGAAAGCGATTCCCCTTGTGGAACTTCCTTTCAAAGGCTTTTTCCGTCACTGCTTCCTAAATGTTTCCAATGTAAAATCAATGGAAAATGTTAAGGGAAATCTACATATCAGGAATGTTTAATGGGTGTCTTAAAAGCCCTTCTCTTCTATTAGACTTTCTAGTGTTGTAGGAAGTTAGCACCCAACCCCTTCCTAGAAAAATGAAATATTATGGGAAATATTGAAAAGGCAGAATATTATATTCCCTCGGATACGAAATGGGGAAACATATTTTTAAGTAGGAAACAGACTCACTCTAAGTAGCCTCCACCTTTATTAGTGGGCCATTTAAAAAAGCCTGAGCCAGTCTATTCTACATGACAAAGATCCCTCCCCGTCAGCTCCAGGGTGATGAGGTTAAGGCATGATAGTATTAGCTCTTTACCCATCTCTCCACAGGGCACCTGAGAAGAAGCGATGCTCAACCAAACTTGGACTAAAAACAGCCTAGAGAGTTGGTCCGTTTTGGGCCTGAAGCCTCCTGGGACCAAAAAAGGGGCATGAGGGGGCTTGGGGGGCCATGCCCCCCCAGTGCTCCCCCTGCCCCCTCATGCATGCCTGCGCT